TTACCCGACGGTGCGGTAACGTGTGCTCAGCCTTGCCGGGGCGGCGCGGGCTCGCACCGGTAATGTTCCCGTTTCTCGTGCGAGCAGAGGCCGAGCGCCTCGCCGCGTCGGAAAAGAATCCTGCGCCCTCCTGCGAGTGCCGGGAGCCGAGGGCGGCACCGCATCACTGTCACTGCACTTTGTCTCTGGGTTGTTCGTATTGCACTGTTCACGTATCACTGCACGAGGCGTCCGGCGGCGCGGCGGAGGGGGGCGGCGCCCACGGCAGCGCTGCGGGCGACGCTCGACGGCGCCGGGCGGGTGCGACGCCCTTACGTCACTCCCGTGAGGGCGCCCTCCAGCATGGGCGGCGGGCGGGCCAGGACGGGTGTGGGTTTGATAGGCCTCGGCACCACGGGCGGCGGCGGCGGCGGCGGAGGCGGGGGCAGGGGCGGCGGGTGCGGTAGGTAGGTGGTGAGGGAGTGGAGGAAGGGCGCGGCGCCCCAGCCGGGGTACATGAGGTGCGGCGGGTAGAGCAGCGGGGGCGGCAGCCGCGAGAGGCAGGCCGGGGGCAGCAGGTGCAGGGGCGGCAGCAGGGCGGCGTGGGCGGCGGGCGCCAGGGGCTCGCCGTGCAGCTTGAGGGGCGGCGGCGGGAGGCCCGGGGGGAGGCGGGGCTCCTCGGGCGCGACGCGCGGCGGCGACGTAATCTGCGCCAGGCCCACCTCGAGGACGTCCTTCTCGTCGCGGGGGATCTTGAAGCGCTTCCTGCGGCGGAGGAAGCTGCCGTTCTCGAACATGTTCATGGCGGACGGGTGGAGGGTCCAGTAGGCGCCCTTGCCGGGGCGGTCGGGGCGCCGAGGGATCTTGATGAAGCAGTCGTTGAAGGAGAGGTTGTGGCGGAGGGAGTTCTGCCAGCGCTGCGTGTTCTTGCGGTAGTAAGGGAAGTTGTCCATGATGAACTTGTAGATCTCGGCCAGCGTCGACATCTTCTCGGGGCTGTTCCAGATGGCCATGGCCGTCAGCGAGATGTACGAGTAGGGCGGCTTCTGGTCGCCGTAGCTCTCTCGCGTCGGGCGCGGCATGGTGGGCACGAGGGGCACGCGCCCCCGTCGCTTCGAAAGCCGTAGGCCTCCAACGCAGAGCGCCGCGGGGGTGGGCGTGTGTGTTGGCAAGATTGCAGCGCAGGGCGCACTGACTCTTGCAGATGCCGTTGCAGCTGAGCGCGGTGCGGGTCACGTGACCACCAGCGCGGCTTCCGATTGGGTGGATTCTTGGATGGGCGGAGCCTACGAGTGCATGGCCATGACGCTCGCCCGCTGCATGGTGGACGCGCGGGCGGGAGGCGTGGCTTCGGCGCCTCGCGGCTGGGTGAGGCGTACTCGAGGGGCGTGGCCTGGCGCGGCTGGGCGGCGCGGGCGGCGGCCAGGTACAAAGGCGGCTCATTTGCATAGTAATGACGTTGTTTGGGCCAACCTGGTCGGTCGGTGGCGCGGGCGGGGGACGCCCACGCCTGCCTCGGGGCCGCCGCTCCGCCCACCACCGCGCCGCCTGCGTGCTCTCGCGTGCACGCAATCACGCGCCCACACAAACACGTCACGGGCGGCCTCCGTGCCAGGCTCCGAGGCCCGCCGGAGGAGCCTCGGCCTCTCCTCAGACCTCGTCGGGGGCGCGGGAGGAGCAGGCTGCAGGTGCGCAGGCGCTGAAGGGCGCGTCCGGAGGGAGACGCGCTGCAGGCGAGACGCGGTTGGGCACTGACGCGAATGGGGGAGATTTGTCAAGACGTCTGATCTCATTTATAAACGTTCAACATCCATACACTCACAAACATACGCTTTTGCATACAAACATACTCGCAGGTCCTAAACTCGCATAGTTCACACACACACGTACACACAAACACAGACACACAACACACACACACACACACATTCACGCACACACACACACACACATTCACACACACATACACACACACACACACACACACACACACACACACACACACACACACACACACACACACACACACACACGAACACACACACACATGCCAGTAATGATATAAGTTTGTACGGGAAAGAATAAAGCCCGGAGGCGGTACCTTTGATTACCAAGACTTCCTTTCGTCCGTCGAGAACGAACGGACGATATAGTTGAGTTATCCGGCTCCCTGATTTCCCATTTTCTTTGTACGGGAGAAATTTGACTAAAATGGATCCACTTTTCCGCGAGTCGACCGAAGCACTTGTCGTTTTCCGCGATGGCGTGATGACAGTAGGGTCTATTATTGATTATTTTCGCTGTTTGGTGGGAGTGTTTCTGCATATTTCTCTCTCTCTCTCTCTCTCTCTCCTCTCTCTCGCTCTCTTTCTCTCTCTCTCTCTCTGTCTTACTTCTCTCTCTCTTTCTTTCTTTCTCATTTCACTCTCTCTCTCTTTCTTTCTCCCCCCCCCCTCTCTCTCTCTTTCTTTCTTTCCCCCCCTCTCTCCTCCTCTCTCTCTCTCTCTCTCTCTCTCTCTCCTTCTTTGTCACTTCTCTCTCTGTCTGTCTGTCTGTTTCCTTACCTATCTATCTACCTACCAGTCTATCCATCTATCTATCTTCCCCCCCCCTTCTCTCTCTCGCTTTCTCACCCACCCTATCATATATATACATATAAATATAAATGTGTATATACATATTTACATATATATGTGTGTGTGTGTTTATATTTATATATATACATATATATATAGATAGATAGATAGATAGATAGATATAGATATATATACGTTTAAGCATAGCAAGATGAGTGTTCAAGCCATTTCATAATCTAGGTCCCAACTGCCTCTCAGCCCCCCCCCCCCTTTCCCTTCCCTCTGTACCTCCCTCATGTTGACAATGAGTTATTTCACAATTACAGGCGGTCGTTATGTGCGGAGGATGGTCTGAATGAGCTAATTAATGCAATTATTAACAAATGTCTTCCCCAGGATGCTTCATAATGCCCTCTTTTCCATATCGTCCGAAGCTTAAGTGAAAGACCGTCTTCCTTTTGAAAATCATAATTATTTTTCTTTTTACGCCCCTTTTCTCTCTCTCTCTCTCTTTCTTTCTCTCTTTCCTCTCTCTCTCTCTCTCTCTGTCTCTCTCTCTCTCCCTCTCTCTCTTATCATTATTATTTTTTTTTTTGTTTTTGTTTTTGTTTTTCACCCGAAGAAGGTCAGAAAGTCAACCGAAACGTTCATGAAAGTCAATGATTTATTAAAGACGGTATTTTCCTCCTTATTAAACTGTCTCGTTTTATTTATGTGGGCGAGAAATGTTTAGGTTATTGTCACTGTTTCTGTTACTGCGAGTTGGTTTGTCGTTGGCTGATATCGTAATAATATGCCCGTCCTCTTGGAAGTCGATTTTATTTGTTTTTTTGGTGCGTTTCAGTTATTTTTGTTGTTATCATTATTATTATTAGTGGTATTGTTATTGTTACTATCATCATTATTATTATCTTTATTATCATTATCATTATTATTATTTCGTGGTTATCATTATTATTTTCCTTATTATTAATATTATTATCATTACTATTGTTATTATCATTATTATTATTAAAGATGATGATATTATTATTATTGGTTTGTTGTTGTTGTTGTTATCATTATTATTGTTATTATTATTATTATTATTACTATTGTCGCTGTTGTTGTTATCATTAACACCATCACTATTGTCTTTATTATCATTATCATTATTACTTTTATTAATATTATTATCATTAGCCCCATCGCCACTGTTATAGTCCTTTATGTGATAAGTTGAATCGCTTTTATCAACAAGCTTTTCAACGAATTTATAGGAAACCGAATAATTATAATATTTATCTACACTTTTATCATAATACTGACAGTAAAACTAAGTATCATTAACATTAATATCGTGACTGTCATAGGTAGTAATCATAGTCAATAAGAAAAGATAACTAAACTCCTTTTTTTTTCCAATGTCAAGATGGACATGACAGGATGACAGGTTAGTGATAATGATTATATGATAAGTGACATGTTGATCACGGTAATGATTTGATAATTGACTGGTTAGTAGTGATAATATTTTGAAATGAAACGAGGTTTTATGAACACGTTGTATTCAGTCAGTCATCATATATATAGCGAGAGATTTGAGGGAGAGGGAGAGGGAGAGGGAGAGGGAGAGGGAGAGGGAGAGGGAGAGGGAGAGGGAGAGGGAGAGGGAGAGGGAGAGGGAGAGGGAGAGGGAGAGGGAGAGGGAGAGGGAGAGGGAGAGGGAGAGGGAGAGGGAGAGGGAGAGGGAGAGGGAGAGGGAGAGGGAGAGGGAGAGGGAGAGGGAGAGGGAGAGGGAGAGGGAGAGGGAGAGGGAGAGGGAGAGGGAGAGGGAGAGGGAGAGGGAGAGGGAGACTCATCAATAAGGATTTTAAATAGAATCACTGTTCTACGGTTCTCTTCTTCCCTTTCTCTTTTCTGCCCTTCTCCCTCTTCCCGCTCACCTCTCCTCTTGACACTCTTTACCTCTCTCCCTCTTCCTATTTTACACCCCTTTCATGTCTGTCCTAATCTATCTTCCTTCCCCTCTTCCCGCCCCTACCCTTTGGCACCCTTTAGCTTAATTTTCTCTATTCCTTCTCTCTCTTCCATCTCCTGGCACCTCTTTCTTGCTTCCCTCTTCCCCCCTTACCCTTTCCCCTCTCTCTCCCTCTCCCTGCCACGGTTCCCCTGCTCACTCTCCCCTTCCCCTTCCAATCCCTATGCCTCTCTCCCTCTCCCCCCCTTCTCTTCCCTCTTTCTTAGTTCCCCTCTCTCTTGTTCTTCCTTTCCCTCCTTCCCCCTCTCTCTCCCTTCCTTCCCGATTTCACTTTCTTGTCTTCTCCCCCCCTCTTTCTTGTCCTCCCTCTCCCTCCTTCGTCTTTCCCTTTCTCCTTCTCCTTCATTGTCTCCCCCCTTCCCCCTCTCTCTCAAGACTCTCTCTACTATGTCCTCCTCTCTCTCTCTCTCTCTCTCTCTCTCTCTCTCTCTCTCTCTCTCTCTCTCTCTCTCTTCCCTTCCCGGCCCCTTCCTTTCTCTCCTCCCCCCTCACCCTTCCTTCCAGTCATCTCTCCCCATCTTGTTCTCCCCTTCCCCCTCCTTCCTCACTATATCCTTCTCTCTCTATCTCTCTCTCCTTCCTTGCCCTCCCCCTCCCTCCCTCCCTTGTCCTCCCCCTCCCTCTCTCTTTCCTTGCCCTCCCCCTCCCCTCCCTCCCTCCTCCCTTGCCCTCCCCCTCCCTCCTTCCTCCCCTCTCCTCCCCCTCCCTCCCTCCCTCCTTCCTCCCCTCTCCTCCCCCTCCCTCCCTCCCTCCCTCCTTCCTCCCCTCTCCTCCCCCTCCCTCCCCTCCCTCCTTCCTCCCCTCTCCTCCCCCTCCCTCCCTCCCTCCCTCCTCCCCTGTCCTCCCCCTCCCTCCCTCCCCCAGCCATCCATAATCCGTGTGCTTCGTCTAAACATAATTTTTGATTGGCAGCTTCCTGACCAGCCCTCGACGAGTGGGAAGAACGGCCCCCTTCCTCTGGCCATTTTGTAATCCGTGGCCCTAAACCATCCTGTTCACTTGTAATTGCGTGTTATTAGCCTCACTCGCGTCTAGGCTCACCCCCTCTCCTCCCCCTCCCCTCTACTCCCCTCCCCTCCCCTCTCCTCCCTTCCCCTCCTCTCCCCTCCCCTCCACTCTCCTCTCCCCTCCCCTTCCCCTCCCCTCTCCTCCCCTCTCCTCCCCTCTCCTCCCTCTTCCCCTCGTCTCTTTCATTACCTTCTCGCTCTCTCTCCCCCGTTCTCACTCGCTCTTTTTTTTTCATTGACCCTTTCCTATTCTCCCTGTCTTGTTAATTCTTCCTTCCCTTCCTCTGTCATCCTGGTTTCATACTCTCCTCCGTTATTAGTCTCTCTTCATTCTCTTCTTTATTCTGTTTTTCCTCTCTCTTTCCTTTCTCTTTCCTTCTGCTCGTCTTCCCCTTCTCTTCTTTCTTTCTTTCCTTTCCACTCTCCCTTTACCTCCCTCCTCTCCCTGACCTTCTCCTTCCTTCTGCTCGTCTCCCCCACCCCCCTCTCTCTCTCCTCTCTACCTTTCTCTCTCTTTCATTCTCTTCTCACTTTCCCTTTCT